GGGAAAAGGGCGGGGGGAGGGGCGGGCGTGGGGTGGGGGAGGGGCGGGAGGAGGATTTCAGCGTTTTCAAAATTTTGGTCATTCTACCTCAGTAATAACCTTCCAGATAGAGTGTACACCATGTCAAGTAAATAGTGATCACAGACTGACTTCCTTGAACCAACTAAAAAGGGGAAAACTGTACATGAGCCAAGGAGTAGGGTTGGCGTTTCCTCAGGCGGGGTAAAGAAGGGGGGAAAAGCGACCTACGGTGGTGTTCTGCTGCCAGAACAGTTAAAACTTTTCAGGGGCCTCTAAGTCAATACTTGAATTTCTGTCAATATTCGAATCTTAGTAGGCTTCGGGCTTACAGGGTACCAGAAAACGAAATGGCGGGAATCTATGCTCCGCGTTCGAGGCCGGCCAGCGTCGCCTCTCAACACTACGGAGCCGACCCGGAGGACCCTCGTAGTGGCAGTAGCTGCGCCTACCTCCCGTGAGACCTGACCTGTTCTCCTCAGGCCAAGCCAGAAATGCTCACCGTGGGCTCCCGGAGTCTTCTAAAACTTTCCGGCAAACGAAGGGAGCAGGCACCACACACCGATCCTCACACGCCAAACGCTCACTCGTTATAAGATGGCAGCGGGCGGAAGCACAATGATGGCACCGGAAACACGTCACCATTCGGTCAGCCAACCGTACACTCCCTGGGCTTCTCTCTAGGAATCTTGGAGGACCCCTTAATGTTGGTGGCTTCCTCCTTCTACTTCCCGCGAGACAAGCCTGAGACGAGAAGAGCAGGCCTAACGGTCCGGCGCCTGCGTTCTTCCTAGAGCCTCGTTCTGAGGTGAGGTGCCTTGTTCATGACCGTGCATCATCATGCTACCTGTGAATACTGGCTTCCATTGACTTTATCAAAGTTTATGACAATAACTGCAAATAAAAGGCTTACCCAGAATGTGCAGGAAAATGTGAATGGTGATACGTTTTCTGGTCTTGTTAAAGTTACCATTTGGAGTATTATAGCATAATCGGTGAATCACACACTGTATAATCAGCCTTCTCGTCAGTTGTAATCACTGCATTCTTGGCATGGGTGGGATTCCTTTAGTGTTGCTCACACCCTTCCCTTCCATAGTCCGCCACCAGCCTAGAGGATACACAACGAGCCCATGAAGAAATGAGAAGAGCAGTTCAATTCCCCCAAGAAATATCTAAGCCTCATCCAGCAGAGCTTAAGACCATCTGAAGACAGTATCCGTCAGAGGTAAGAGATGGTTTCTATCAGAAATCCCTCAGGGGAGATAGGTGTGGCCACCCCCAGAAAACTTCCTGAGATGTTGTGCCAGAGTGGAAATGAGTAGAGCAATGACCCTCATGCCAACAGTGAGGAGTGAAGAAGATAAAGGACATTTGCTGCCACTTCGTTCTCTTTGGGTGTTATAGACCACAGGCAGTATTGCAGTAGGAGCACAAATGAGCAAGATCTGACTCACGGGCCCACACATGGCAGGTCACACCCCACAGTTGGCAGCAGACTCCGAGTAGCCCAGAGCCTGAATCCACCCTGTTTGTGTCATGAGTGAGAGTCGCCCAAAGTCAT